GTCTTTCTTTCTATCATTTTGTTTCTCTTCCGAGTGGTTTTTGTACCCTATTTTTTTCTGTTTCTTCGTGGGGTCGTGTATGCCGGGTTTTGAGACCACGGGCTCCCAATCTTTTTTTTTTTAGAGCTAATGTGAGAAACAACAACAACAACAACAACTGACTTGTTGCGGACCCCATCCCTCTTCTTACTACTACCGCCGACTGTTTTTTCCGTTCGTTTCTGTATCGAGTACATCAACGACCCTCCGCAACCCGTTCGAGTTGATAAAAATCTGCATGTGATGAGGTGTGTTATTAGAATCGACCGAGCTATCGAAATGTTTGACAATAACCCGATGGTGGTGATTTCTGTTAACGTGTCTTAAAGACTATACACATGCATGTGGTGGCGCCTTCACCTCGTTTGTCACCGCCACCCCTTTCGTTTGAAACTACCGCACGAAATATCGATCTTATTGAAGTGTATCATATCGAACTACAATCGTTGGTCAAGGGCGACCCATTTTGCTGGGTCGTCACCCTACGTTATCTATATAGTCTAGCTAAATAGGAACATCGTCGTCGTCAAGCATTCTACTGACTCTCTATTGGTATGAAAAAAGTGCAACATGTTATCTTTTGTTGTTCAAAAGAAATTCCATCCCCTCCATGAGTAGTCTACATGTACGCTCTGCTGCAACTCAACCTCTGAACGATTGTTGAACGATTGTTGACATTACCTTCACCTGCTGCTACGTGATATAACTATGGATGCACTCCTATACATCAACGACACGGAGGAGATCCGGGGACTTTCCGCCGCGTCTTGACCATGACGAATGTCCACACAACACACCCTCACTCGACGCGACACACACAATAACAACAGTATTTGAATTTAGTGCGGATCATGTGTCTGCCTTGTGCCTCCCACCTTGCATCTGGACAGATATAATTTGGTCGGTCTTCCAGGGCTCTTTTCTCGACCGGTGCGGTAGCTGTTCCTTTTCCGAATGGTTTGTACCCTATTTTTGTTTTGTTTCCCCGCGGCGTCGAATGCGCCGGGGTTTTGCGACCACGGGCTCCCCACTTTTGTGGACTATAGAGGAGCTAATGTGGGAAACAACAACAACAACAACAACAACAACAACGCCAACAACAACATACATTTCTACCGTACAACAATATGTAGGTGACACAGAAAAATGGGTCGCCCTTGACCAACGATTGTGGTTCGATGTGACAAACTTTAAGAACATTATTATTCTCTGTTATCTCGCACCCCGTTCTAATGTAGCCGCACGGTAGTTTCAAACCAACGGGGGTGAAAGACGCGGTGGAAGGCGCCACTGCAGGTGTATACTCTATTGACACGGGAGAAGAAGCGGCCACCATCGGGCTAATGTCAAACATTCCGGTAGCTCGGTCGATTCTTCACACACGGCACATCACACGCAGTATATATAAACTCGAACGGGTAGCGGAGGTTCGTTGATGTACTCCATACAGAAACGAACGGAAAAAACAGCCGGTAAGACAAAATATGACGTCCGCAAGACGCCAGTCAGTGACTGCACGTGAACAAAAAAAAAGACTGTCCGGCGACACGAATCTAAATCTAGCGGGTGAACGGGTGAATGCGAAGCGGCCTACTTCCTCCTCGGTGCTGAATCCTTCGGAGGTTACCGCGTAGAGACACACTTCTCTTTTGGAATTCCCGTCTCTCATATCTGCCGCACATGCCCCCATCTATCGGAGGCGCACGACCGGTGCGCACGACCGGTGAATTTGGGTCTGGGAACCACAGCGAAATTGCTCAAGGAGTCAAAATATCTGATGCAAGAATGAAAATTGATTTCAGTTCTGGATCCCACCCACCTGTAGCCCGTTCCTCCGATGCTGCCGCCTGTTGCTCCACCCCTACACACTACCTTGCCTCTCTCAATCCTCTCTTTTGATCTCCACGGAGAGCAAGAATATTGATAGAAGCAACCCGAACACCGACAACACCGTACGATTATGACCACTGCCATCTCTTATCCTCGGCGAGGCTGCCACCCTCCGGGCCTCGTCACGGTGGCGAATAACCTTCTTCGGCTGCTGGTCGTGCTAGTTGTGCTCATCACCTCAGCCGCCGCTGACACCCCTGGCCAAGACGGGGGGGAGCTAACGGCGGAGGATGCCACCTACATTTACAGCTGCGACGATCTTGTGATGGACAGGACAGTCGTTCGCGGCTCCGTTGCCCTCATGGGCAACATCACCTGCGCTGAGACAAAGGTGTGTGAGAGTCACAGCCGCAAAAGTGTGATGACTTCTTTCCGATGCCTGCATCCTCTGCTTGCGTGCATGTCTCTCTCTCTCCTATCTATCGTGCTTTCTGAGTTCGCTGCATCTTGTCGAGGTGTCGGGCTTTATATTTAGCCTCTGGTACCGAACCGGCCCATCATGAACCCCGAAAGTACGCTCGGAGATCTCTGGCAGGCTCAAAGCCAACCCCCCGCGATGCGATCCACGCTTCCACCATGCATAGTCTAATCTCGCCGTCAGTGATGGGGGATGAACGTTGATCGATTGCCAAATCCTTCGTTCTCTCTACCTTCTTTGCTCATCTTATAGACTATACTTTGTGTACAGCATACAAGAAACAAACAGTCGCAATTCGGCGTACATGATTTAGTCTGGCGCTGCCCGGCGCTGCCACACTATGGGATCAGAAATAACGCTGTACGGCTTGGTACATGTACCCATCAGATCAGTGGTGAATGACGGCAGCTTCATTTTTGTTCATCATGTCCTCCTGTTCTCTTCAGGTGTTGGCATTCGGATGATTTTCTCCCGTAGAATTGTTGCTCATAGGCGACGTATAGCCGCAGATCAGAAGGTGTTGCGGCTCTTCTGGAGGATGCTGCTGTTTCATTGTCATGCTTTTGTGTTGGATCGTAAAGTCGGTTCTTGCCAAACTTGAACGCTTAGCCCACTTGCGGCGCGAGTCGCACCCCACGACAAAGCCACCTCCAGGAAAGGGCGGTTCCACGCACTCCGTTCTTTGCTCGCCCTCGACTTTGCGCGACGCAACGAAGATTGCCATCTGTACGGACGGATTGTGGATTGGGACCAACCGGTAACTTAATGTGGTATCACAGATTGGAACGAGAATGCCACCAAGGGAGGTGATCATGATGTACCGGGCTCCGGGTCTGGATTGCCCCGCCGCCGCAATTGCCCCGCTGGACAACAAGCAGTGCAGCCGCCACCACCGCTCCCTCTCTCTCTTCCATCTGTCACTGTGTCACTCAGAGTCCTGACAACCAAGCTCATTAGACACGTTCACGGGTAAAAGCGAACAATGATTGTGCTGCTGCTAATAACAGATCATCGAGGTGGCCCAAGGCTACGGCGACGTGTACATCGTTGCAGAGACGGTCATGTGGACCAAGGGAGTCATCTTCGAAATCCCCAAGGGAACCAGGGTCGACTTCGGAGCGGCTGCTTTCGTCTTCGAAAGCAATGAGGTATGTATGGCATACGTACAGCGATGAGCCACATGCTTCAAGTTTTGTTTGCACTCTGTCGAGGTCCAGCCCATCATAATCATGGGGCTTCCAACTACGACCGCAGGAGCAACAGCAGTATTGTTGGGGCGCGACAAATTGGATTTATTTTTATTCTCCAAAACATGTCGCAGCCGCCGAAAAACGTGTCATGCGGATTACCCCACACACTTGAGTTGTTTGGCCTGACTTGCAGCTACGCACTACCCTTCGGAACACGGCAAAACAGCCTTCGTTGCCCAACGCAGTTTCCCTCGCCCACCTCTCTCCGTTCCGACTCATTTATCTAACTTCGTTGCTCTTGTGGGGTATGGGTGTTGATGTTGGTGGGTCACTGCTGCACTACATACAGGACAACATGGACGGCATCTTCCACGTGGATGGGATTCTGGGGTTCCTTGCCGAAGACCCCGACTTTGAAGCCCCTGATGACGCCACACTGGTGGGCTATCTGTCTCGGTTGTTCTCGTTATAATAGCGATTGCAGCGATATTGGGTGGTGGTGGCGGCGGTGGTATTATGGTGATGATTTAGGTGTTGTTCTTGGTGCCTGCCGTCATCGTGGCCTGCGGGATGTCCGTCCGCGTGGTTCCACAGCAGCAGTCGGCATTAAGTCGAAAATATACTTGAGACTGAGCAAAAACGCAACATATGTTTTTGTGATTCCCCCGCAAGATGTGACGTTCGCTCTACTGCTGCAGTCTACCCATGAAACCTCCGTACGAACGCTTTGCTCGGTTCCCATCTTGCCGCTGTTTACCTGACGTTTGCTTTTTGCTGATATTTTTTTCGTGCCGCCGCACCCCCTCGCTCTTTCCCTGTTTGCGTCAAACGATTACCGCTCGTCGTTGCGATACACGAACCTTTTTCAACAATCAGGAGGACCTGCACCGGATGGTCCGTGGTGACCCCGGTGGCACCGTAGTGACCCACCGTGATGAGGCCGTGTACTACACCGACTCCGCGGTGCTCGTAATCGTAGAGCCCAGTACCGACAAAAACGGCAACAGCAACAGCAACAGCGAGGCGGCCGTCGGCTCTCAGAGACACTCTGCAGACCTGGCTCAGGAGAAGCTGCAGCGGGAGTCGGAAGCGAGCGGCCTGGACTTGGTCACGTTCCTGAAGTCTTGCGACGACCTCCCATACGAGCGGACCCCTGTGGAAGGGATCGTGTCCGTTACGGCAGACATCGTGTGCCCCGAGCCCAAGGTGCGCGTGTGTGTCTGGTCCGGGCATGCCAAGCTCTATTTTGTTGTAGCAGGCCGTGCATGTCACTGCATGAGGTCTGTTCGGTTGTGGCAGCTTCATTCAAACACTTGGGCTGTAGCCTTTTGTCTCTAAATCAGGCAGTCGGCCCGAAGGAACCTATTGATGGTTACAATCGACAGGCGGCTATTATTGTGTTCGTGTGCTTTACTGCAAGTGATTGGGGGTTTGGTGCTTGAAAGCTAGGGAACTTGGACATGAAATCTAGGGTCGCATCTCGCCCGATTGTGTATCCCCCCCCCCCCCCCCNCGACCGACCGGTCCTGATATAGGTGAATGCGCGAACACAGAACACAGCCGATAAGCACTACAACATGCATACCAAGAAAATACTCGTAGGTTCTGCAAACAGCGGAGGAGCACCGTTATCGTCTATCACCATCACCAACCATGGATCATTGCCGGAGCAGGTGATCGAGATCATGGAGGGAGGCGGCAATGTCCTGTTCGTCGCCACCGACACCCTGTACACTAGGAACGTCCGCTTCAGCGTCCGGAAGGGCGAAAAGATGAAGTTCCGGGCCCCGGCTCTCACTTTCGAGAGGGACCAGGTAGCCGTTGAGCGCTGTTTTGGTCTGGCATATCTCCCTATGCTTCTTAGGAGGGTGTGGCATCTATTAGAGGGAAGATGTCGCCCCTAGCATCCGTTCCTGTTTTTTTTTGCTGTGCTCGCGAGGGCCCCTCCCCTATTTCTTCCTAACTTTGTCGATGTCGAAGTGAGACGATTACCTCGCCCCCAGGACTTTTTCTTGCCACGCCCGAATGTCTCGACAACTTGTCAAATTATCCCCAGGGCATTGTGTTGTTTTCCTTTTGGACCGGAGATAGATATGCTGGTCCCCGCAATCGCGGAGTCCATCCATTTCGCATGTCCTTCTTACTTGCCCTGCTTTCCTCCCTCTCCCCTGTCGTATCTATTTTTCCCAACGCCCCTGCTCTACCCTTGTCCAACCTCTGCTGTGACAATCGCTGGGTAATTCTGTTAGGGCGATACGGCCGAGATCTTCAATGTGAACGGAGAGTTACACCTCCGCGGCGACCAGCACCGCTTCGACGATCTGGTCAACACGAGGACGGTGAGCTCTTGTTGTTGTTGATGTTGTTGTTGTTGTCGTTGTCGGTGGTGCTTTGTTAGCGACCCCATTGCTACATATCCCGTGGTCAGGACAGACTTGGTCTGACCTCTATCTGAACACCTGCCTCCACGATGTTGTGAGACCGGCCCATCGTGTGCCAGCAGTGCTGCTTGTTTAGTTCTTTTCAACCAGGAACGCACCTGGTTTGCCAGGAGCTGGCGTATCCTTGCACCTATAACCAGGAACGCACCTGGTTTGCCAGGAGCTGGCGTATCCTTGCACCTATTTGGACCTGACAACGCTCAAGCACCAACTCCTTTGCGACCCAAGGGTGTACATTCCCACCGCTCGAACACCTACCCAAGCAGCTTCACACATGCGTACACCTTTGGCACCCTGGCCTTCGCCCCTCACGCGGAGAATAGCCATGTTCAGTTCGGCTCAGCTCCCGCCATCACACGTTCCGCAACCCATCCCTCACACACACGCTGAACCTTGTTCTCTGGTTGCAATCGCCCCAAAGCCTCACCTTCCTCCCCCGGCCCTTCCCCTCCCCTCCCCTTCTGCCGTCGTGCCTACGCGCTGTTGGCCGTGTTGCAACGTTTTCTCTACCACCCTAGGACGACCCACACGATACGATCCGCGGTTCCCCCGATGGCGATATCATCACCTACGGCGGTTCGATGCTACGCTTCAGCGAGACCTCCGTCATCGTCGATGCTGCCGCCACCGACACCGACACCTACGACAACGGTATCGACAACAACAACAACAACAACAACAACAACAACAACAACAACAACAACAACAACAACAACAACA